GCGGCGAGTGCGCATTGCTGTCGACTCCAATTACAATGCGCTTGCCCTTTAGCTGGTCAAGTACGGTCTCTAGGTGTTGAATATGATGGTCTATGGAGTCGCTGTACTTAAAGTACGCAGAGATGAGATAGAGACCGTACTTCTCCACATGGCAAACCACGCAGTAGGAATTGCTGAGGTGGGGCAATCCAGCCACACCCATATGCCCACGTGAGATCATAATTCCTGCCTGGGGCTCTGCGCCAAACTGAATGAAATCCCTGGATTGAGCCCACTGCTCCTGGACAAGAACAAGGTCCAGGCAGAGGCTACAGGCCAGAGATGGTAGCTCCTTCGTAGCCACCTCACCCCGCCCCAGGTTAAGCTGCCCAATAGATATTTGGTCATCCTTAGCCATACTGCGTGGTATTTATGGCCCTCTCTTCTGCGTACACCCTAGCCGGGCACGTCTTCGCCATCGTGGCATGAGATTTGGCGCCCGGCTTGCCAAACTTTTTGCAGGTGGCGCAACAGACCTCAGTTGAGGTGCAAACCTCCCTTGCATGGCCTTCCTCTCCGCATTTGCCACACGTTGCCTCTTTAGCCCTGCAGTACTTTGCGGGGTGGCCGTACTGCTGGCATCGCTGGCAACAGGTGACGTCGACGTAGTCGCATGGCTCGACCACGTCCCACCCTACATACAGTCTCCTCCGGGCTGTCAACACGTCTCTCAGACCAGAACTACATTGCAGCACCACTGTAGTCCTGCGACTGCCTCTCCACGACTTTTTGAATGCCACCTTACAGTTTTTCTTTAGTTCCTCTAGGGTCCAATTCTCGTCATCTCCAAAATTCTGGTCGTGGAGGGCGGGCAGTAGCTCTTCATTGTTGATGTCATCTTCAAAACCTCTTAACGCCACGAAAGGCAGGCGCTGCTTGGGCTCCGTAATCCGGAGCGTTGGTGGTGCCGCAGTCCTTAACTTCTGTGCCGCCTCCTGGGACGTGGTCTGGACCACCACCCCAGCATTCCCCACCTTCCTTAATCTAGATACCTGAATGTTGATTTCCGAAGGCTTCACCGATTTCTTCAGTTCGGCCTTCGTATCGTCCGCTGTCTTGAGGTGTGCCTGTTCCCCAGCTGGATAGAAGGCCAAGACTGGGCCAGACTTCTCCGGGATGGGCACTGACGACACACCTTTCGGCATCCTCAATACCGATGCGAAACTACTCCCTGCTGTGGGGGCATGGTCCCCGTCACCTGCGGGTGCACGCATGGCCTCCTGATGCGCCAGCTTAGCCTCAGCCTGCGATTTGTCACGTTCTGATCTGCAAAGTGCAAGCTGGGCTTCCATAACGTGAACCTCCATTGCAGCAACCATCGCTATTAGGTCCTGCCCGGTTGCCGAAATTTTGTTCACTTCGGTCTTGTTTAGTTTGGAGCCCGGGCCAGTCACGATGCCCATAATTGTCCTGATAGCAGCCCGCGTATGCTCTATTATCTCCAAAGGCGTGGCCTTGGAAGCGTCGAAGGCCTCTTCCATAGACTCTAGGTCTTCCTCTAGAGTCTGCCTCGTTGGCTCCGAGGTGGGAATCCCAGCAGCTGGGGCCACAGCCGCTCCTTTCTTCTTCTCCAGCTTCTGCCGCTGAGTCACGGGCTGCGGCTGGTCCGGGGACGTGAGCGGTCGCTTCTCCGGAGCCGCACCCAAGCCTCCCTTTGGGTTCTGCGAGCTGGGGCCTGCAGCAGGCCTCGCCGGAGCACCCTGGGGGGGCGTTCGCGCCAGCGACTTCCGCGGCACAAAAAGGGGGGGTTCGTCCCCCATTTTGGCAAAACAAGTCCCTTGTAAGTCCGAAACACGATATCAGTGCAAATAAAACAAAAATATAGTTAAAATAAAAAGTTATTTAAGTTAGTAACTTTAAAATTTTAACTGCCGGAGGGGCATACCCAAGGATTCACATATATATGGTAGCGAAAGGTTCATGCATAATTCGAAAATTTTTACAAGTCCCAAAAAATAAATAAAAATTGAAAGTCAATTTTCCAGTTGATCGCTAGATGTCTGGGTGTAGGAAAACACACCAGCGCCCTCTAGCGGGACACACTCGGACTAAAACTAATATTACAAAAGTACAAAGTATATAAAACTAAAAGTGTCACTGTCACAGCCCAACCACAAGATGTCGCTGACTTTATAGCTATAGTGGCGCCATCTGGCGTCACTAGCCTAAACTAATAAAATATAACAAAAACTATAGATAAAGTGTCACTTTCACAGTTAATAGTACTTAGCTTAACAGGTGTCGCTGGGGTGCGGACACACACCTAGCGCCACTCAGCGGCGCGCGGCTCAACAGCACAGACCGTGCACACTATCACCCCTGGCGGCGTGCGGCCACCGAAGGTTCCAGAAGGCACTCGAACAACACGTCAGAGACCAACCACCCACTTAAGTCACAATGTCACAAATAATCCACACAATTCACAAAACAATCTAATTTAGCGTTAATTCAAAGCACAACATTGATATTAATACTGTATATATAACAAAATAAAAGTACATATAACAAAAAGCAATAAAACACAACAAAATACTTGAAATAACGCAACAAAGTAAGCGCGAGCTCGCGACACGTCCGATCGATACAACGACCGGAACCGAAGTTCGGATCGTTTCGTACCGTCGGACTATGAGAGTGAGGGAATAGAGCAATAGAGAGTGGATTTGTGTTTGCGCTAATACTCGAGCGCTATAATTCTGGCTTACGCGGATGGCTAGTCTCCGTTGAGACTGGCTGTACAAAATTTGGTTTATTTTTTATTTTTTTATAGAATTAGGGTGACAATCGAGCGCACAGTCCACCTGATGGTAAGTGGATGCTGTGGCCCATAGACATCTACATTTAACCTCGGTTAAGAATCAAAATGCAGATGCTTTGTCACCCCTGAGGACTAAGATGGAATGCCTCGATTGCAGAAAAACTGGTCTCCGGTTCTCTACACTCACCATACGAAACACAGCAGCATTAAACTGCTATTTTACGCTGGTATTCTGTGAGAGCGTGGTCCTTCCCCGGTCGAGCAGATGCTTTCGTGCTACAACCATAGTGTAGCTGCAGCGTGGCTCTACCACGTGTAAAAGTTCAGAAGAAGTTATTTAGAAGACAATATTGTGTTTACGGATGATGTTTTACCGGCCGATTTGTACTACTGGAACTACTGTACCGATGGTAGTTGTATCGGAAATTGTTTCTTACGTTGGATTTAAAAGTTAAAGGTTATACACGGGGTCACACAAAAAGCATTCACTTGTTGGCTACTTACGTGGTAGAGCCACGTTGTTTATGGCACATTATGGCTGCACCACCACCAAGCATCACGTGTTGACTCGGCCAAGGTAAGACTATGCTCCCATAATGTACAAGCGTGAATTTGCAGTATAACAAGTGGTAAAATTAAAAATTTTGTATAACCGACTTCAATACGACCGATTCAATGTATTCAAAGCCAATTAAATATATGTATTAATAAATATAACTCAAAAACTACTGATCAGATCTTCATGAAATTTATATGGGCCAACACGAGAAGTACCAGTTTTCATACAATAAAGAATCATAAAAATCGTTTCACCCAGAGAAAAGTTATGAGAACGCACGGAATAACTCCACCTTTTTGAAGTTGGTAAAATATGCTGCGCTTTGTGTAGGCTGTCTTTGTATTAAGGGGTGATAACTTATCGGATTTTTGATAGATGTAAATAGTTTACTCTAATCTCCCTAGCTTTGGGTGGACTGTGTATTCGTTGGTCTTTCTTTCTTGTATAAAAATCAATCGATACTCTATGTAACATTTAGAAACTGGGGAAGGAATAGATGAAGATTCAGAAACAATGACTTACGAATAAATCTTAATCTTACGCCTTGACTTTCAAATCTCAAAACATTGTTAGATGTCTCCCTCGGAACTGAGACCTAATGCAGTTCCTCAGGTATTCTAAAGTCTAGTTACTTTGCATTATACGAATCAGTAAGCTTAAGTGGTAATGGGCCGGGAATAGGTAGCAGATGTGTAGGGCGGATTTGTGATGGAATGTAATGATGATGATGATGATACTTATGAAGCATTGTATCGATCTTTGAAAGTAAGTGCTTATTTCGACGACAAATTTTAGCGATACATTTAAATATACGATGCAAAGTGAGAAATTTAAATACGTCTGTACTAGTTTCAGTGTATGAACAATAGATTTATTAATGAAACCAAGAGAAGAGATGCAGTTTCAGCTAAGAATGTAGGATTTAATCTGTTTAATCTATTTTAAAGTAACTTCTGTTATACATCAATTCAATAGAATATTATTAATTCGCCATCCATATGACGTCTAACTTTAACGTAAAGGTACTAAGCATTCTTTATAACATTTGACTCGTACCTCGCTTGTAAGTATAATATAATACATGTAATATTTCATAACGACAGCCTATCAATGTTGAATCGATGAGGCAGGCCTCCGTTAAGCCAATGCTGAACGGAGGCCTGCCTCAAAGATTCAACTTTCACCAAAATACAAGGTGGGTGACTCGCTACCATTTCAAAGGGTCTCTGGTTATCGTCACACAACATACAGAACACAGCAGCATTATGCTATAATTTACGCTGGTATACTGTGCGAGCGTGGTCCTTCCCTGGTCAAATCAACCCATTTGTAATGCAGCCATATTATAATCTGTTTAACCAAATGGCTGACTCGGGGAGAACTGGTTGCCAAACTGTTGAGAATTGGTTTTAATCAAATGGTTGACTGGCATTAGATGCGCCATATGTACTACTTTATGCATGCAAGTTTAAATAAATAAAATAACATACACTACAGCGGTGCTCCACCACAAAAGTCTCAACTCGCGATATTTTATAAACTATAACTAAGGAATTTAAAGCGAATTCGTTGAAGTAATAAACTTAAGTTTAGGCTCTGCTTAACATTAAATAAGTTTTTAATGTGGCGTTTTTGGCTTCTCAGGACCGGGAACTTATACGACGGCCGAAGGGGATACATATGTAGGTGTATGGCATGGAGATAAGCTGGGTGTGAACGAAGAAGCAAAAATATTTTATAGCGATGGGTCCAGATACGAAGGTTTTTTAAAGGACTGGTGCTACAGTGGCCTTGGGAGATACTACTATCCTGATGGAAGCGTGTTGCAGTGTGAATTCATCGATAATTCTCCTGTTGGTAATTTGACTCTGACGGATCCGAACGGGCATATTTGGTTAGGTAAAGCCGAGCAAGGCTACTGTTGGCTTGATCCGGTTAATCATTATTACGATATGTTGGAGAAGGCGAAAGAAATCCGAAATAAACGTCAGCATAAAACTGAAGTTATTAAGATGGCCGAGCCTTATGATTCCTCAACTGCATCAAGTATTAAACTCAAATAGTTTATCGATATGTTTATTTCAAACTTTTCACCTATAAAGTACAATTAGGCGGTTTTAAGGCCAAACGGCATTCTCTAATAGCCTACAGTTTAAATTAAATTAAAAATTTAAAAACCCCTGAAACAAAAAGAGCAGAGGATCTTCAAACGACTGAACAGATTTTCATGAATCATAGCTAAGCTCCCACAAGCTAAGCTAAAACTCACAAACAAGTCACCTTCCAACCAAAACCAACTAAATCAAGATCGGTTTGTCCGTTTGGATGCTACGATGCCACAGACAGACACACATATTATACATACGTTTATAACTTATAAGCTTATAACACCCCTCTGTTTTCGTCGGGAGTTAAAAGGAGAGGTGTGGGTGCAATTTATAAGTGCGCTAATAGTAGTTAGTTAGTACCAGTTCTGGCTCACTGATTCAGAAGTGGTACAACGTTCGTCGAGACTCAAGATCCTAGAAAAAAAAAGGTTTTGGCATGCTCTGATCACGAATCTGCGGTCCATTTTTGCGTAGGATGCACGGTTCCGGAGATGTGCAGATCAATTAACTCTTATCTAATTGATATCCGGTGAGGGCCTCCACCGTTATTAGCGCCCCATTGTTATTTATCTATTGTTCAAATACTGTCATTGTCTATTTGTGCGTCGGATTATCAGTGCTATTATTTTATACTCCTTTGTTCCTAACTGCAACGGTAATCTGAATCATCAATAAAATACATTACCTGATTTTGTTACAATTTTTATTTACGAAATACAAAATCTTATTACTTATTATCTATAAAATAGGAGCGAAACATCTCATCCACTAAAATAACGTTGTACAATGTGTTCCCTGTAAATATACTCGTAAAACTATGCATTGAACATCCCTGAAACTTATATAGCAAATACATTAAACAATATTCGCCACAAACTGAAGTCCACTCATTCTGAATCCTATCAACATTCCAGTTCCATCTTTTACAATTCCTTTTTAAAAACTCTAGATGATATCGTACAGGTGCTCGTCGTAGATTCGTGATTAGAGCATGCCAAAACCTTTTTTTTTTTAGGATCGTGAGTCTCGACGAACGTTGTACCACTTCTGAATCAGTGAGCCAGAACTGGTACTAACTAACTACTGCTAATAGATTTCAATGAATTATTGAGGACACAGATTATTAAAAAATATAATTAGTACCATCAGGTGTGTTCAGACTGTGTGCTCGTTTGACACCCTTTTATTTTAAAAGAAATATCTGAAAAGTCCCCGTCTTGAGGTCATCCAGTGTTGGGGTTAGCGCAGCGAATACTTTTTTTGGCCCAAAACTCTCTGCGGTATGTGCCCAGTTGTGGAATTCATGTAGGCTGCAACTTTTTTACTTTCAATGGGGAAAATATGCAGTTTTTATTTCTTTCATATTTTCAGATATGTTAATTTTTGTTTTCATTCTATCGTAATTATTAAGGGAGCAAAGATGAACTCATCATCGTTATCATTACAGCCTGCCAGGCCTATGTACAGCCCACTGAACTGAACATACGCTTACCACATAGGTTGTGAAATAGGCTGGATATTGGCTGTAGTTGCCACACCTGGCGGGCGGCTTGGCGAAGGCAGGTTTCATTATTTTGATCTGTTATCAGGAAGAAAATGCTGCAAATAAACATATAATACTGTAAATTAATTGACGAACATGAAATTCATCATTACTTTGTTAAAACTAAATTAAGCTTAATTATGAATGAATGTAAAGGGTAAAATATAAATAATGCAATTCTGATTTTAACCTTTTTAATGGATACATCGGAAAATAATAATTATCGATTGAATTTCGTTAATTTTGGCACGGAACAGCATTTAACGGTATTCCTAAATTGAAGCCCACGCGAGCGAAAAAGCTATTGAACAATAAACTAGTTTCAAATTAAAGGACCACCAATTAACAGGTTCGTCTTCCCGGCTTTCTTATAAGTCGTAAGCTTAATACAAGCAAAAATTTTGTGCTGTATTAAAAATAAATATTATTAAAAATAAAAAAGCGTTTTCAAATACCCAACGATATTTTGATTTCAAAGTGGTCATTAAAAATAATACAAAATATATTATAAATGGACACTTTTTCTTATTTGTTGCTTGTTGTTATATATTATTTTTATAGAATAAGGGTGACAAACGAAAACACAGTCCACCTGATTTTAAGTGGATGCTGTGGCCCATAGACATTTAGGTATATTTATCCTCAATTAAGAATCAAAATGCAGATGCGTTGTCACCCCTGAAGACTGAGATGGAATGCCTCGTTTCTACTAAAAAGGGTCTCCGGTTCTCTACACTTACCTTACAAAAACACAGCAGCATTAAGCTGCTTTTTTATTTTTTTTATTATATATATATATATATATATATATATATATATATATATATATATATATATTGTTATTAAGGCGAGTATTTTAGGTAAGCAATTCATTTGATTTCAACGTAACGATCGTGACAGGAAATGTTTAATGGATACGCACGCCGGTGAAAATGTCAAAAGACGATAGGAATTGAATAAGTAAGTGCGGGCCGCCAACACGCTTCTAAAATTGTCAAGATTTAAGTACAGCGTACAAAACAAGTAAACACAATCACGAGGGCTGCGTAAACAAGGAGAATGCTCACTGAGTTATGAAATAAGTCGTTCGCTAAGGTGTTAAGTACACTCGGGTACTTTGTCAGTTTAGATACGCATTTATTTCACACTCCACTATTTGAACCATACTTAAGAGAGAAGCCGTTATAAAGTACACTCATATACAGTACAGTTAACTTTATTATTAAACTAGGTGTAACTGCGCGACTTCATTCGCATGGATATTTGGAAAGCATCATACAATTTTTATACTGCCTCCTTGATCTAGTAGTCATAAGTACAATTGCTGATAATCTAGTCTTGGGTTCGAATCCCATTTCGGACGCTGTCTTATATGCAATAAGGGTATTTGTATTAATTCTGTAAAGTTCTTAATTGTTTCTAGCTTATCATATTTTTTTATTCAATGATGATGGTCCTGAAAGAACTATATGAGCCATGTCGTGTAGGACGACTTTTTATTTTTTTTTAAACTTGGTAGCCATTCAGTTTCATAGCTTATTAACTAATTATAGTAATATAGGTTCCTCATATCTATTCGCTCAAGAGGTAATCTTTATTTAACCATTATTTTATTTACCATTTATTTGGGGACACCCTTATTGGACGTCCCCAAATAAATGTTTTTTTTTTATAGGATAGGGTGACAAACGAGCACACAGTCCACCTGATGGTAAGTGGTTGCTGCGGCCCATAGAAATCTACATCTATCTTCGATTACAAATCAAAATGCAGATGCGTTGTCACCCTTGAGGACTAAGATGGAATGCCTGGTCTCCAGTAAAAAGGGTCTCCGGTTCTCTACACTCACCTTACGAAATACAGCAGTATTAAGCTACTATTTTACGCTGGTATTCTGTGAGAGCGCGGTCCTTCCCCGGTCGAGACGACCCATTCGTGCTATAACTATACTACTAATATAACTGCAGCATGGCTCTACCACGTAAAAATATATGGTATATTTTGAGATATACAAAAAGTATTCTAGATACTATTAATATTTACTTTACATCTTTTCAAAATATTCTCCATCATGCTCTATACAAAGTTCCATTTGCCTAAACCAACTCTGAAAACACCTGGCCTGGGCTTCTTCGGCGCTTGAAAATAACTTGCCTTTTATTTTTTCTTTGACTCTTGGGAACAAACAGAAATCACAAGAAACTAAGTCAGGGCTGTAAGGTGGGTGACTTAGAGTTTCAATACCAGATTCCTCAATAAATGCTTTTGTTCTAATGGAGGTATGTGCAGAGGCTTTATCGTGATGCAGCATGATTCCCCGAAGCCCGGTTTGATCTTCTCTCCCGCGCAGCTTGAAAAGCTTTTGGTTATGCAACTGTAGTATACCATTCAGAGATGACTAACCTACAATTTTCCGGCGACATATGTGAACTCCGCAAAAAAAAACTAGCCACCATTTTTTTGCCAACGTTGCGGGGTTTTTGCAATTTTGTCGGTAACTGTCCTTCTGAATAGACCCATACCGATGATTGCCTTTTATTTTCCGGATTATTTTGATAGATTCATGTTTCGTCACCGGTAACGATTACTGAAACACCCCTAGATGCCCCGTTTTCAAAACGTAGACGAATTTCATGGCACCAATCCACCGAGTCTGTTTTTCGATTTCGGAGAGCAAACGAGGGATCCATCGACAACAAAGCTTCCTCACTCCAAGATGTTGGTGTAGGATGGTATGAATGCTCTCCGAACTAATGCCTACAATCTTTTCGATGTCCGTATATGTCATTCTTGGGTCTTCTCGCTCCAACATTTCAGTACTCCATACATTTTCTGCCGTTACTGCTGTTTGCGGCGCCCCGGGTCTTTGGTTACCTTTGAGGTTAATTTTACCGCTTTTGAATTCAACAAACCACCTAAAATTGTTGCGTGTGGTGGTGCTGAGTACCCTAATACTGATTGTAACCGTTGTAAGCTTAACTGTTCGGTTAAAACAAATTTAAAATCATAATAGATCATAGCGCGCAAATGTTCACGGTTAAGACCCATCGTTTTAAAAGAAAAGCGCGGGAAGCGTTGCAGGAAAATTAATAGAACTTTTTTATATTGAGCAATTGGTTTATGGAGTTCTATTTTTTAATAAATTTGCTTTTTAGAAACATATAACACGAGTGCGTTCCGTTTTTAAATTTCGAGCATCTCAAAACTTATTGAGTTACCTACATACTCTGCGCATTTGTTAGGTTAAGACTATTCGTAAGTTGCCGCGGTCATAAGTGTTCATAAGAACATAACACTGTTTCATTAAACGGTATTTAAATTTTGTAACACTATTTATTTGCTTAAGAACGCGTGTTATACTGAATAATCAAATAAACCATATGTGTTAAGAACAACGATAATAAATCAGCCA